CCATTGTGCTATCTGCTCTTGCTTTGACTACTTGGACTTCAGTGTGATTTTGCAATCTGGATTTCTGTGCTTCGTCCACATTCATGTTCCTTGCACTTTCCAGATCAAGATCCAGACTCCCAGGGCAGATAACCAGCTGGACAACCTGTGTGCTGGAATCTGGAAGATTATAGTTTTTGAAAATTTTCAAGAACATCCGAAAACAAAATGAGAAAAGAGACTATAGCTCTGGAATACCAAGTGTAATGCTGCTTGCGTGACTGACTTGCTGAGATTTCCGTGTTCTGCTGAGGTTTCTGAGTATGTATGAGTGCATGCTGGCTGAGATCTCAAGTACTTGCCGCCTGAATGGTTGCCTATGTGTGTGTGATGCACACCCGGAATAATCTGAGTGATGCAATGGAGCCAAAGGACCAGCAAAGTGATGATAAGGAATCAAATGGACAATGCAGCATCGGCGAAGCATCAACAAGCAATGTATATCCATATACAAACAAAAATGGCACAATGTAGCGCAGTGGAAGACTCAGAGATATGACCCGACTTGTCAGGCACCGACTCGACCCAGCCCATCACACACCACACATGTGAGGGAGAAGGGAGGGACCACATACATGGAAGGAAGGTCGCTCCTTGATCAAGCACATGGGGAGAAACCACGGATGAAGGGATGGAGGAAGAGCAAGACGAAGATGGAGATGAGGTAGAAGACCAAAGTTGCGATAGCGCAGTCCAAAAATAGTCCCCCCTATCGAATGTCCTACATCAGCAGGAGAGCCTGGACGTCCGGCAGGGACCCAGGCAGGCTGTTTTCAGGGCTAGGACCAGGAGCAGGACTTGGGCCTGCAATCTGGGCCACCGATCGGGTTCAGATCCAACGGCCCAGATAGCAGACCGCGGGGATTGCAGCCAGGCCCAGCGCTATATCTAGCTGGGGCAGTCCAGTTCCTGGACAGAGAGGAGTTCCCACTCCTTTGGGCGTTATGCTGCTGGAGGAGCGTGGGATTCTCAGCATTGTGCTATAGCTAGAGGTAGAGGTGTAGGAGCTAGGAGAGGTGAGGGGAGAGGCATTGGGCATACCTGTGAGGTGTGGACGGCTTACCTGGGTGCCATAGCTGGTTCCTTCGCCAGCGACCTGCAGCACAGAGAGGCACGCCAGCTCGTTAGTACGTGGCAGCAGTTACTTGCAAGTGAGGCAGTGGAGAGGTCTACATTTTCTCCTTCTTCCTGCATCTGCCTTCCATGTCCTCCTTCCTTCTTTTCCTTCTTCCTCTTCTTCTTTCTCCTTCAGAGAGAGAGAGAGAGAGAGAGGTCACAGACAGAGGTTATGTCGGGGTATGGGGCCCAGGTTCTGATTCGACATCACAGGGGCAGGAGAAGTCCTCTACTGGATGACTCTGAACCTGGCCTAAAACGGCTCAGTGAAGAACCTGGCCTCTCAGAGGCCCCAAATGTGGTCCTGGTCCAAACATACACTAGTCTGCTCGGACAAACTGCAAAGTCAGAAACAACGCCCTGGAACAGACAAAATAGAACAGACACAAGGTTCATGCAATCAGACTCGTCTTCTTTCTCACTTAGCATGCATGAAACAGATGGCAATCACACTGGCGACAAGCGCCCACACCAAGCTCAGAGAAATCGTGGCCAAGAACACAGTTCAGATTCAACTTGCTTCAAACTGGCTATGGCGCCTGTGCCCTCACAACATCCTTCCACGTTGTATCCTCAGCAACAGTTCACACGCACGCTACTCTGGATCTCCCTGGATGTCCCACACACGCTCACAACTCACTGCACACTCATACACAAACACGCTGTAGACTATCTCTAACCTAGCGCAGCTATGGCTGCTTGCTACCTCTACCACTACTAGCGGCTATGGCCGCTTCGTCTCCCTCGCAGCCCTCTTCTCCCTCGGGCACCTGCAGACCTCCTTGCACAAGTCGCTCTGGCAGCACTTCTGTACGGCTCGCAGTCTGAATGAATGAATAACTGGACGCTGCCTCTGGATTTATACTTCGGTTGGTCGCTGGTCTGCTCCTTTCCACCAGGCCTAGGGCGCACACAGTCCCGCATGGTACTTGCTGACTGGACAAAGTGCGACTGGGACTGGGTACCGCTGACTGGACGAGGTTGGACTTCCCACTTGCCCACTTGCCTCTGGCCTGACTCTGGCGACTCTCGAAAGGCCACTTCCGGACCTTCCGGAACTCTGTAGATTTGCCCTTTCGGGACTGTAGCAGTTACGACCTTGACCTTTCAGGACTGTAGCAGCTACGACTTCTACACAACTATGACCCCTACTTGACAGACCTATGGTTCAAAACCCGACAACTACACAGACCTACGACAGACAACAGCCAACTACCAAGACACAGGTCACGGGTTCAAACACACAGGGGTCGACTTGGTACTGTACACAGGTGAGGACAAGGTCTAGGGATCGAGCCCTGGGATCTGCATCTGCTACTGCAAAGGCGAAAACCGTTTCACTCCCGCCGACCTAAAATCGAGGTCCTCCAAGAATATTCTAGTTCAAGACAGGGTCTTTACCTTTCCTCTCTCTTTCATAGGCGCAGACTATGTCAGGGGCGGTTTCTAGCAGTTCTGTTCATGTAAACCAGCGGTCATCCTCTGGCTGTTGATAAGCAAGTCTGACTTTGTACTGTTTCTAGGGACGACCTCTACCTCCGGTTCTAAATACATCCTCTTCGATAATGCGGTCAATGTCGTACCTTCCGTCCATATCTGGGGGGATCATTGATCTCCTTGATGGAAATCGCTCACTCGCCGTGCAAGGCAACAACTTTGACGCATGAAACACGGGGTACGTGTGGAGGTGCGCTGGAATCTCTATGGTGTAGGATGGTCCATCCTCTCCGCCCTTAACGTCTAGAACTGGCCATGGTCCTCTATATGCGGGTAACAGTTTTTGCGAGATGTTCTCCTTAGGAGCAAATTCTTTGGACTTGACCCAGACTAGGTCGCCTACCCAGAACTGCAACAGGCGACGGTGTATGTGCCTTGCTCTATCATCTTATGCTGGGCCTTCCTGAGGTTCTCTATCACGGTAGCAATCTCTTTCTCGTGCTGTAGTGCAAACTCCCTAGTTCCGGGCCGTAGCCTCTGGATCTGAACCCGGTTCAGTCCCTCAAACGGTCTACGCGGTCTAAAGGACTTATGCAGTTCGTTGGGAGTGCGACAGGTTGCTAAATGCACGCTGTTGTTATATGCACTGGCTACCTTTGGGAGCATCCCTCCCAGTTGAGTTGATCAGGTCTAATTTACATTCTAAGAACTTGTTGCAGGATCTTGCTCATCTGTTAGGTCTAACCGTTAGTCTTTGGATGGCGGCCAGTCAACATCAACAACCTAGAGCCGTAGACTCTCATCAATTCCTGCCAGTTCTGACTAGTGAACCTGGTATCTTTGTCACTCACTATGGACAGTGGTGGACCATGTTCACTGAACTCAATGATCATAAAACTTCTCTATTACTAAATTTGTGCGTGCCTCTGAAGGCAAAGGAACGAAAACTGCATACTTACTAAACCTATCAACTATAACCATGACTTGGCTCCTACCATGCCTACTCTTAACCCCAGCGTCCATGAAATCAATCGACACAAAATCTCCGGGTCCTGCGGGAATAGGCAAGGGTCTCAGAAGACCAAGAGAGGCTCGCGTAGCGGTCTTATTCCTCTGGAATACTTTACAACTGTGTACTCAATGCAGTCAGCCTTCATGTCAAGCCATGTATACGCGCAAACGAGGTTGGCTAATGTCTTTGCCAACCGAATTGTCCCTCTGTGTCGTGTCATTCCCCTAGGATCAGACTACTGATCTCCTCACAAACGGTCAGCTACATTAGTCTTCTCAAATAACAACCCATTTGTAGTGCGGTAATCTGGTTCAGTCTCAGGGGACTCCTTAACTCTCTTTAGGAGATCGCTATAGATAGGGTCCTGCTCATACGCCTCTTTGACTCTTTGTTGCAGGTCTCTCCCTATGTCCAGATAGTGTACTATCGCTCCAAAGTAATCGGCTCTCCTACTTAGAGCGTCCGCAACTACATTGTATTTTCCTTTGACATGCTTGAGCTCAAAGTCAAACTGATCTATCTCTGCGGCCCACCTATTCTTCAGCCACCTCAATGTCTCATGGTCCGAGTAGACTTTGAAGTGCCTCCCAAGCAAGTAATGCTTTCAATGGTCTCGCACTTGTCTGAGAGCGTAAAGTTCCCTCTCGTAGGTAGATGTCGCTACCTTCTCTGAGGGCATCCCAGCAGATATGAACTCTACGGGTCTATACTCATTGACATCATCTTGCTGTAGAACAACACCTATACCATATTGACTGACATCAGTGGTGACAACAAAGGGCAAGGATGGATCGGCTACTTTGAGGACTGGGTACTCTATCAAGGCCCGGTTCAATTTCATTAGGGCCGATGTACAATCTTGATCCCACTTCCAGATCGCTTCTTTCTTTGGCAATCCGCGAAGGCTGCAGCGATGGCAGAGAAGTTCCTCACGAACTTCCTGTAGTAATTTGCCAACCCTAAGAACGACCGGACCTCTGTCAATGTGCAGGGAGTTGGCCAGTCTCTAATCGCTCTTATTTTACTATCCTCAGGTTTGATGCCATCTCCATCTAGGACGTGGCCCAAGTACAATACCTGCGTCTTGGCCCACTCACAGTTTTTTGTTGTTGATCTTGAAGTTAGCTTCTCTCAGCTTCTCCAAGACCTGCCTGCCTCAGATGAGCCTCGTGGTCCTCGAGGGTCTTACTAAACACTAGAATATCATCTAAGTATACAATCACAAATCTATCTAGCCACGACCTAAACAAATCGTTCATATAACGCTGTAACGTGGCTGGCGCGTTGGTTAGTCCAAAGGGCATTACACTAAACTCATAGTGCCCATATCTAGTCTGGAACGCCGTCTTGTACTGATCATCAGGATGGACTTCTATTTGATGATAGTCTGACTTTAAATATATCTTGGAAAAATACTTGCAGCCCTGCACCCGATCCAACAGATCATCTATCCGGGGCAGTGGTTCTGCGTTCTTCACTGTGACGGCGGTAAGACCCCTATAGTCAATGCACATTCTCAACTCTCCCTCCTTCTTGGGGACGAACAAGACAAATGCTCCAAATGGAGACGAACTAGGCCTGATCCAACCCTTTTCAAGGAGCTCGTCTAACTGCTTGTGCAACTCCTCTTCCCTTGGGGACATTCTGTACACAACTCCCTTTGGAGTTCTACTGCCAAGCTCTATCTCAATGCGATGCTGGATTGGTCGTTGCACTACTCTGGTAGGCGGCTCGGACAAATCTACATACTCTTCCAGCAGCTTGGCAATTTGAGGATCAGTCGGCTCTTCCTTTCTAGGCTCGGTAACTGGCCTAACATAAGCTACGAAGACCTGCTCTTCTAGTTGCTCCTTCTTTACTAATCTTGCAAATGCAGGAGCGTTGAGGCAGCAATGTGCTAAGGAGTTGTATATTCTTGACACATGAAACAGGCGAGCAGTCTTACCTTCACCTGAGGGACTAGGGAGCTCACTCGTGCTCTCTCAAATGGAGTGTGGCCCCTGTTGCCTCTCCCCAGTCCATTCCTATGACCATATCAAATGGGAGGTTATCCTCTACGAGGAGAGTCAGAGAATGGAGAACTCTCTCTTCCTTCCCATCTTTCTCTAGGCGGAAATATGCCTGGACTCCCTCGACGTAATCCTGGATTCGCATTGTGCGATTGTCTGCGAGGATACATACTATGGGCTCTTCTAACTTTTGGACTTGTAAATTCAGCTTTGACTTTTGCAGCCTTTTACGACTAATATAGCTTTGGGTGGCCCCACTGTCTATAAGGGCCCCTACTCTGCCCCTAAAGACCTCTATGTCTAGTAATACTAGTTGCTCCTTTCCATCTTTTCTCATCTTGGCCTAGATTGACATCCTCTCCTTCAACTCTTCTGCCAGACATGTGAGAGAAGTGCCTAGAGAGACTCTAACACAAGCAGTCTCCAGATAACTACCTAGGCACAATCCAGCAACCTTTGCCATAGACACGTGGTTTGGGAGTTTCTCTGTGGTGCACACACTCTTCTCCACATGGTCTAGGGGTAAGGGCAGTTGCGACCCCTACCGCCGGTTGCCTTTTGATGTCTCTGCAGCAACTCGACGAGCATCTCTATACTTGGGGTAGTACTTAATGATGTGTCCCGGATCACCGCAGTATATGTACTGATTCGCGTCTATTCTCCTCTGCCACACGGTCTGTTTTAAACCTAACGCTTCCCAAGGTCTGCCTTCCGGCAGGCCAAGGTGCCATTCACCCCTCCGGGAAGGTAATCGGTTAAAACGAGGGCGGTTTTGCGGGGGACGTTGACCCCTACGTCCCTCTTGGCGATTTCCTCTACCGCCAAACCCCTGATCGTCGTGTCCCGGACCACTAGAGGCCCGACCCGCTTGGCCCCGACCCGCTTGGCCCCGACCCGCTTGGCCCCGACCCGCTTGGCCCCGACCCGCTTGGCCCCGACCTCTCCCTCTTCATTGCGGCCTCCCTCCAGCCGCAACAACAACATTAGTCCTCCCCTGACTACTGCCACTGTCCTCCTCTTCTAGGCCCACTCTATCTGACTGTAGGGGACCTCTTTCATGCCACTTTCATCTAGCGTGAGGAAAAGGTGATCCTTGACCCTGACTTGGCCAGAGATGGTACGGCCTTTCCACTTTTGCCCCTTGTCCATGTCTTTGTGCCAAAAAGTAGATGCTGGCATGGACTAGGCTTCAAAAGTCACCACCTCCCTACTCAACGTATCGAAGGTCGTGGTGGGTTGTTTTCGAAATGTGTTCATGTAAGGCATCAGGCATGGCACGATAGAACAGTTGAACTAACAGGTTCTCTGTGACCCCATGTCCAAGGACGGCGACCAACTCGTCCATGACTCCCTCGAGTGCCCTGGCACTCTTCCACTGACGAGAGTGGATGGTTTGCAACTTGTCAGAGGCTCTAAGCTCCTGAGTGGCGTCTACAAAGCGCTCGTGAAGCAACTTTAAAAATTCGTTGAGGGGGGTGCGTGTAAGGCATCAGGCATGGCACGACAAAACAATTGAACTAACAGGTTCTCTGTGACCCCATGTCCAGGGACGGCGACCAACTCGTCCATAACTCCCTCGAGTGCCCTGGCACTCTTCCACTGACGAGAGTGGATGGTTTGCAGCTTGTCAGAGGCTCTAAGCCCCCGAGTGGCATCTACAAAGCGCTCGCGAAGCAACTTTAAAAATTTGTTGAGGGGGGTGATGATGGAATAGGCTACCATGTCATTCCCGGACTTAGTGGCGCGAGCGAGTGATCTGGCGAAGCTTGCTGGTTCATCCTTGAGGGCATGGAAGGCGATAAGAACTTGCTCCTCAGGCAAGATCTTATGGAGGTGAATATATGAGTTAATCTTCACCTCCCAGTTGTCAAAGTTTTCTCCTTTCGTCCCGCTATAGGAGTCAGGGAACTTCACTTTGACTGCATTTCTGCACGGACGCGCTTCTTCTCCCTTTGGGGCAGACAATTTGGCGCCCTCTATGGTGCCTGTGCAGAAGCGCTCCGTATTCTCTAACCTTGCCTTCATCTCTGTGCCCACATGCATCATCATTTCACGCGCAAACTCCCTAAAGCCCAGGCGTATGGACTGTACGGCTATATCCTGGCCGCTCACGAACTGAAATTGTTCCTGCTGGGCCTTCGCCAAGAGTTCTATATTTCTAGCCATGACCTCCATTTTTCCCTGCAAATCTGCCCAGCCTTCCATCGCCCTTCTCTGCTCATTTACCACCCTCAGCTCCGTCTCCATCTTATTTGTTGCCTCCATTCGTTGTCTCTTCTCTCTGGTGAGGCACAATTTCCACTCTAACTTTCTCTTTCTTCTTCAATTGTCTGGCAGCGTAGGGGATTTTCTTCTATCTCCAGCTCCCTTATTTCAGTTTTGGACCTGTCAGTCAAGAGCTGAAACTCGGGGTCCCCGTTAACCACGTGCGTCCTGTTCTCCCGTGGGGACATACAACATCGCTTTTTCTTCTTCTCCCAGGGACAATTGGCGACCCATTCGAAAACCTTTTTCTCCATCTATTGGTCCTCCTTCTTCGTGCCGCTAAACTCCCCTCTTTCCCTTCTGCCTTTTCTCTCTAAGGGGACATCTTCTTATACTTCTTCTTCCTCTTCTTCCGCTGCCTTTAACTTCTCTTCTTCTTTCTTCAGCCTCTCCATCTCCGCCTCCAACTTCTTCTTCTTCGCCGCCTGCTCCTCCTGTAATGCCAACTTTTTGGCCTGCTTCACTAACTCCTTCTCCTTCTTGGCCTTCTGTTCGGCCAATATCTTTGCAGCCTCCTGCTCCTGCTCCTTGGTGTAAGGAGTGGTCCCAGTACCACCCCTCATCTCAACTCTGCACGTAAACGTGTGCCTGAAGCCTAATGGGAGCAGGAAACGCCAGAAGGTCCCCCATAGGGAGAACCCCACGAGCAGGCCGTACATAGGGCAGTCATCCATGGTGTGTGGTGCACAACTGGAGACTGTTCCACTCCTCACAACTTAGACCTACCCACTGACTGACAAACTGACTCTTTAAGGACTACAAAATCCCTGTAGGATCCTGTCAACTATGGTCCTTAGCCTAGACTTGCTACTAAGGCTGTCACTACAGGACTTCACTGCTGATCAGAAGGCATTTAAGGAGATCCCTCATAACTCCTCAGGAATTCTTTAACGTCACAAACAGGACGACGCGATCAGCAAGTCCTCTCAAGACTTAGACGGCCGGTTGTGCAGCCCACAACTCGGATTTTGGGCCAACCATGTAAAACTGAGCAGCCCGCCGGCCAGTACCGTTCCTTGGGAGGGCTAGTCCTCCAGGACGTGTCAGTCGTCACACATGGACAGCAGCCCTGCTCAGCCCGTGTGGGTTTGGTCAACACAACTCTACGCCTCATACACACAGATCCTATCACCTGAACAGAAAAGACTCAATGCAGAAAGAAGAGACAAACAGACAGACTCGACAAGTACCATGGGGTGAGTGCACATCCATAGGGCGAGGGGATAGGCTGAAGGCTTGGCGAGATTATACCAACTCCAACTTGGTCATATTCGTGGTCAACAGCTCCGGTCAACACTCGTAAAATCACCAACCTTCACCTTCCTCCTCTCTCCTTTTTTTCTTCTTTTCACCCCGGCTATGGCTTCTCTCCTTCCTCGTCTCTCCTTCATGGTCTCTCCTTTCCCTCCCTCTCCCTCTCTCTCTCTCTCTCTCTCTCTCTCTCTCTCTCTCTCTCTCTCTCTCTCTCTCTCTTCGTCGTCATTATCTGGTGCAGGTGCGTGGCGGTTTCCTGCTATGGTGCAACTGCTGACGTGGCGCTTAGCTGGCGCCCTTCCTCCTCTTGTTCACGGCGATGATGGCGATGTGGAACAGCGGGAACCTTGCTCCGATACCAATGCAATCAGACTCATCTTCTTTCTCACTTAGCATGCATGAAACAGATGGCAATCACACTGGCGACAAGCGCCCACACCAAGCTCAGAGAAATCGTGGCCAAGAACACAGTTCAGGTTCAACTTGCTTCGAAATGGTTGTGGCGTCCGTGCGCCCTCACAACATCCTTCCACGTTGTATCCTCAGCAACAGTTCACATGCACACTACTCTGGATCTCCCTGGATGTCCCACACACGCTCACAACTTACTGCACACTCATACACAAACACGTTGTAAACTATCTCTAACCTAGTGCAGCTATGGTTGCTTGCTACCTCTACCACTACTAGTGGCTATGGCCGCTTCGTCTCCCTCGCAGCCCTCTTCTCCCTCGGGCACCTGCAAACCTCCTTGCACAAGTCGCTCTGGCAACGCTTCCGCACGGCTCGCAGTCTGAATGAATGAATAAATGGACGCTGCTTCTGGATTTATACTTCGGTTGGTCGCCGGTCTGCTCCTTTCCACCGGGCCTAGGGTGCACACAGTCCCACATGATACTTGCTGACTGGACAAAGTGCGACTAGGACTGCGTACCGCTGACTGGACGAGGTTGGACTGCCCACTTGCCCACTTGCCCACTTGCCTCTGGCCTGACTCTGGCGACTCTCGAAAGACAACTTCCGGACCTTCCCAAAGTTTGTAGACTTGCCCTTTCGGGACTGTAGCAGCTACGACCTTGACCTTTCAGGATTGTAGCAGCTACGACTTCTACACAACTGTGACCCCTACTTGACAGACCTATGGTTCAAAACCCGACAACTACACAGACCTACGACAGACAACAGCCAACTACCAAGACACAGGTCACAGGTTCAAACACACAGGGGTCGACTTGGTACTGTACACATGTGAGGACAAGGTCTAGGGATCGAGCCCTGGGATCTGCATCTGCTACTGCAAAGGTGAAAACCGTTTCAGTTCAGCAAAAATAAAATGCTACCTCAAAGAAAAGGGACATGCCTGACCTACCAGGATGGACGCCTGGGGGCCCCCAACAACCATTGGGCCCCCGAAGCGGGGACCGTGTGGCGGGCTCAGCATGCAACAACGTGTGTGACCAACTGGGGATAACCTGTGTGCTGGAATGGCCCGCGGGCCTGGTACTTACCTGTGGCTCTGTGTGTGCAGGGTTGCAGCAGGGAAGTGGCATAGAGTAGGCCCGCAGGGCCAAAAATACTCAAGTAGCGGTTAGGTAGGCATAAAAGGCAAACAGACATACCCTCGGGAGGCCGAGTTAGCTTTCATGAGTCTGGTAGGCTTACGGGGAGGTATCGGTCCAGTAGGTCTGAGTCTAGAGCCTGCGGGAGGGGAATATCAGACTGCAATGATGTTCCCTCGAAAAGTTGAAGGCACCAGTAGACTTGGAGGCTGCGCGGCCTAGAAGTAACCGCGCGAAGAGGCACTACTTCAATATATCAAGAAAGGAGGTGAAGAGCTCAGCCTCATTTGTTGGCGCTCACTTGCGGCCATGCTGCTGGAGCGCTGACCAAGAAAGTGTGTCGCTGGGTGTAGGAACAAGGCGGAGCTTGGTCCCCACCTTGGCAATGGTGGAGGTGACCAAGGCGGAGCTTGGCCCCCACCTTGGCAATGTGGCGGAGGCCTACGAGTGAGGAAGGAGGAAGAAAATGGAGGAGTGTGGCATACTGAGCACCACACAGGCCCCCACAGCGCCCATCCAGGCAGGACAGAGGTTAGGTAGAGGCCCATCAGGCATGTGTCGTTTCAGCCTAGGTAGGCCCCATAGGTCGGTAGGCCGTAGGTAGGCCCTGGCGCCCGTTTGGCGCCAGACCCGGTATAGGCCCAGTAGGCGCCAGGCCGTTTCAGGCCCTGTTTCAAATTCGAAGATTCGAATTTCAGCACCAACTTAGGCGCCAGACTTTTGGGCGCCAGGGACTGGCGCCGTTCGACATTGGCAAGAGCAGCCTCCCAGCCGGACCAGTGCTATATATAGCTGGTCCGCCTAGGAGGCTTCATTCAGTCTTGAGGCATTCAGCTTCATTCAGTCTTGAGGCATTCAGCAGTGACACTCTCCGAAGATGCTGCAGTGGTAGTAGGTGACGGTAGGAGTAGCCTTCCAGCCTGGGCGCTGCTAGGGTTGTAGGATAGCGCTAAGAGGGAGGTAAGTGGCGGAGGCCAAGGGACTTACCTGGGAGGTTACCTGTGATGCCATCGCTCTAGCTTCGTCTCCAGGGTACCTGCAGCAAGGCGCCACCTTTCACGAGTTAGTACCTGGCACAGAGAGAAAGAGAAAGAGAGAGAGAGCTCCTCTTCTTCTTCTTCTTCCTCCAGTCCACCATCTCTCCCTCACCCTCTAGCTACCTGATTGCTCAGTATTGCCAAACTACGAGAGAGAGAAAGAGAGAGATTTGTGACTTCGGGATTTGATGACATTTGGATTCAGGCTCGACATTGGGACAGAGACATTGGATGGGGGTCTATTTGGGATCTATATCGAAGACATGGTGTTGACGACATCCTCATCCTCCCCCTCCTCTTCGTTTGATCCCCCTCCTCATCCATGTATGATATGAGCCTGGCACATTCTTCCTGTGTGTAGCGCCAGGCCCCTTCACACCTTGCAATGATCATGATGTATGTTTGGTCTGCACTGCGACATTGATTGGTCTGATAATTGGTATTTCAGTTTTCCACTGTGCTATCTTGTACTATGTGAGAGAGGTTGGTTCTTGTTTCTGGTCTGCACCATAGCAGGTACGACTCCTGCTACTACTAAGACTTCTAACCTACAGACCTACAGTTCGAGACCCAACAACCAGACTACCTTCAACAAGCAAACGGGCAACTTCAAGACACCGATCGCGGGTTCAAACACACACATGGCGACTAATATTGTACACATGTAAGGGCGAGGTCTAGGGATCGAGCCCTGGGAACGAGATCTGCTACCATAAAGGCGAAAAAACCGTTTCACTCCCACCGGCCTAAATTCGAGGTCTTCCGAGAATATTTCAGTCTAAAGCAGAACCTTTACCTTTCTTATCTGTCGGGAACAGTCTCTAGAAGTTATCTTCGGGTAAACCAACGGTCGTCCTCCGGTTCTTGATACGCAAATCTGACTTTATACTGCTTCTGCGTACGACCTCTACCTCCTGTTCTAAATACATCTTCGTCTAGAATGCGGTCAATGTCGTACCTACCGTCCATGTCTAGAGGAATCATCGATCTCCTTGACGAAAATTGATGGCTTGTTGTGCAAGGTAACAACTTTGATACGTGGAAAACTGGATAGGTATGGAGGTGTGCTGGAATCTCCACCGTATAGGACGACCCATCCTCTTCGCCCTTGACCTCTAAGACAAGCCACGGTCTTCTATACGTAGGCAACAATTTCAGTGAGATGTTTTCCTCAGGAGCAAACTCTTTGGACTTGACCCAGATTGAGTCGGCTACTTGAAACTTAGATGGACGACGATGCTCATTAGCTTGCTCTATCATCTTATGTTGGGCCTTCCTGAGGTTCTCTATCACTGTAGCTATCTCTTTCCCATGTTGTAACGCAAACTCCCTAGTACTGGGTGGTAGCCTCTGAGTGTGATCCAGGTTGAGTCCCTCAAAGGGTCCACGCGGTCTAAAGGACTTATGCAGTTCATTGGGAGTGCGACAAGTTGGTAGGTGAACATTGTTGTTCTACGTGCTAGCTACCTTTGGGAGCATCTCGTCCTCGTTGACTTCTAAGAACTTGTTGCAGGATCTTGTTCATTTGTTCAGTCTGACCGTTTGTCTCTGGATGACGGCCAAATGACATGAGTAACTTAGAGCCATATACCTTCATAAGTTCCTGCCAATTCAGTCTGATCGTTTGTCTCTGGATGACGACCAAATGAAATGAGTAACTTAGAGCCATATACCTTCATAAGTTCCTACCAGTTCTGACTAGTGAACCTGGTATCTCTGTCGCTAACTATAGACAATGGTAGACCATGTTCACTGACCCAATGATAAAAAAAACTTTGCTATTACTAAGTGAATTCGTGCCTCAAAAGGCAAAGGAACAAAAACTGCATATTTGCTAAATCTATCAACTATGACCATGACTTGGCTCTTGACATGCCTACTCTTGACCCCAGCGTCCAGGAAGTCTATGGACACAGACTGTCCGGGCCCTGATGGAATAGGTAAGGGTCTGAGAAGACCCAACGGGGCTCGCGTCGTAGTTTTGTTGCGTTGGCATACTTCGCAACTACGCACGTACTCTATACAGTGAGCTTTCATGCCGAGCTAAGTATAGGCACAAATCAGGTTGGTTAACGTTTTCTGCCAACCGAAGTGCCCCTCAGTGTCATGACATTCCCCTAAAATCAGACTACGGATTTCCTTGCTATTGGGGACGCACATCTAATGCTTGCCTAAGAGCGCATAGTTCCCTCTCATAGGTAGATGTCGCTACCTTCTTTGAAGACAATCTAGCGGGGATGAACTCTACGGGTCTATATCCATTGCCATCGTCTTGTCGTAAAATAGCACCAATACCATATTGACTTGCATCAGTTGTGACGATGAAGGGTAAAGATGGGTCGGCTACCTTGAGGACTGGGTACTCGATCAAGGCCCGCTTCAACTTTTTCAGGGCCGATGTACAGTCCTGGTCCCACTTCCATATTGCTTCTTTCTTTAACAATCTGCAAAGGGGAGCAACGATTGCGGAGAAGTTCCTCATGAACTTCCTATAATAATTTGCCAATCCTAGGAACGACCTCATTTCTGTGAGGGTACGCGCGGTTGGCCAATCTCTAATAGCTGCATCCTGTTGTCCTCAGGCTTTATGCCATCATCGTCTAACACGTGGCCCAGGTACAAAATCTTTGTCTTGACCCACTCGCACTTCTTCACATTGATATTGAAATTTGCTTCGTGCAACTTTTCCAAGATCAGCCTCAGATGAGCCTCATGCTCCCGAAGGGTCTTGCTAAAACTCAAAATATCATCCAAGTATACAACTACAAATCGATCCAACCACGACCTAAATAAATCGTTCATACAGCGTTGGAACATAACCGGTGCGTTGGTTAGTCCAAAGGGCATCACTATGAACTCACAATTCCCATATCTAGTCCTAAATGTCGTTTTGTATTGATCATCAGGGTGAACCTCTATCTGATAGTACCCTGACTTCAAGTCTATCTTGGGGAAGTACTTGCAACCCTGCACCCGATCTAACAGATCATCTATACCGGGCAGTGGCTCTGCATTCTTCACAGTAACGGCGTTGAGACCCCTATAGTCAATGCACATTCTAAGTTCTCCCTCTTTCTTGGGGACGAAGAGAACAGGTGCTCCAAATGGAGACGAACTGGGCCTAATCCACCCCTTTTCGAGGAGCTCGTCTAACTGTCTGCGCAACTCCTCCAACTCCTTAGGAGACATCTTATACACTGCTCCTTTGGGAGTCTTACTGCCACACCCTATCTCAATACGGTGTTGGATAGGACGTGGAACTACTCCTGAAGGAGACTCTGACAAAACTGCGTACTCCTCCAACAACTTGGCAAGAAGTGGGTTGGTGAGTTCCTCCTTCTTAGGCTCAGTAACTGGCCTAACATAGGCCACAAAGACCTGCTCTTCTAACTGCTCCACCAATCATGCGAAAGCACGAGCACTGAGACAACAATGTGCTAGAGGATTATCTACTCATGACACATGAAACAGGCAAGCCGTCTTGACGTCGCCTGCATGACTAGGAAGCCTACACTCATGCTCTCTTAAGTGCAGTGCGACTCCTGCTGCCTCTCCCCAGTCCATACCTAGGACCACATCGAATGGGAGATTGTCCTCTACGAGGAGAGTCAAGGAATGGAGAACTCTCTCTACCTTCCCATCTTTCTCTAGGCGGAAGTATGCGTGGACTCCCTCGACGTAATCCTCGATTTGCATAATGCGATTATCCGTGAGGATGCTGACTATAGGATCTTCTAACTTCTCGACTTTCAGATTTAACTAATCTTCTGCAACGCTTTTCTGCTAATATAGCTACGGGTGGCCCCACTATCTATTAGGGCCTCTACTCTGCCTCTAAAGACTTAAACATCAACTAACAATAGTTGCCCTTTTCCATCCTTCTTCATTTTGGCCCACGCTGGCATCCTCTCTTTTAGATCTTTTGCCAGTCCTGTGAGGGAAGCGCCTAGAGAGACTCTAACACAAGCAGTCTCTGAACAGCTAACTAGGCATTGGCCAGCAAACTCTGCCATAGGCACATGTGGTTCGGGAGTTTCTTTGTGGTGTGCGCACTCTTCTTCACATGGCCTAGGGTTAAGGGCAGCTGTAACCCCTACCAGCGGTTGCCTTTTGCTGCTTGTGCAGCCGATTGTCGAGCATCCCTATACTTGGGGCAATATTTGATGATATGCCCCAGGTCACCACAGTAGATGCATTGATCCTCATATATCCTCCTCTGCCAAAAAGTATGTTTCAAACCCAGCAATTCCTAGGGTCTGCCTTGAGGCAGACCAGGGTGTCATTCATAGGGCTGGCCAGCAGCATCCCCACTCAGTTGAGGTGCTGCCCACATTCTGATTGGATGTGGAGTGGAGAGCAACATTATGCTGCTAGAGTGCTGAGGGTCAGCGAGTAAGGGGAAGGGTGGAGTGGAGGTCTGCAGTGAGAGAGGAAAGGAGAGGCTGTCATAGCCATCGAGCTGCGTGGTGCCAGCGGGAGGTGCTGCTGTTCGCAGCAGGTCCTCGACAAGTGGTGCAGGGGAGACTCTGCCCATTTTGCACGGCGGCGGCAGGTCCTCGGCAAGCGGTGCAGGGGAGACTCTGCCCGTTTTGCACGGCGGCGGTAGTCATCAGCAAGTGGTGCAGAGGAGACTCTGCCCTTTTTGCGCAGCGTCGGCAACCATTTTTAGAGTGACTTTGGGGTGATGCTGTCCGCTCGGCACGGCAACGGCGGCGCTTTTTTGCGGTGACGCGGAAGCACTGCCAAGTTTTTGCGGCGGCGCCACAAAGATTTTGGCGGTAACGCGGAAGCGCTGCCGATTTTTTTTGCGGCGGCGGCACTGAGATTTTGACAGTGGTGCGGAAGTGCTGCCGAATTTCTGCGGCAGCAGCCCTGCTTTTGACGGCAGTGGCGCGGAAGTGCTGCCGGTTTTTCACGGCGGTGGCAGCAGTAGTTTTGCACTGACTACATAAAATGGTTGGGCACTGGCGCAGGGAAGGTGCTGCTAAAATGGTAGTGCGTTTCGAAGTGGTTTAAATGTGGCGCCGCAGTGACGCGGTGACATTGAAGGCGTGTAACGGCGACATTAAGACGTCGTCAGATTGTTGAGGTGATTGTGTGTTGAGGTGTTGTGGCAGACGGTCGTCGCAAGAGAGTGGTGTGAATCACTTTGCTGACGGCTCGTTGTGATCGTTTTCTCATCTAAAGACGAGTTTATACGACTTCACTCAAGGTCAGTCAGTTGATTGACTCAGATTTCCTTTCACACCTGTGTGAGCCCACACTTTGCTTGACTTTGTTCATTGAATGTTCAAATGAAATGGTAGAGGAAAGTTGTGCGAGTCATGCACGTGAATGAAAAAGTCTGACTTGTGTATGGGTTGCATTGGTTTCCTTTGAACTTGCTTGTTTTGCTTTGCGATCTATGCAGGTAGGTAAAAGGATGCTAGAAAAGGAGATTGATTTTGCCAATTGGAGAGAAGGAAAAATATTGTTATGTTCCTACCCTTCGCTTGCTTGCATGTTAAGTGTACTTATATTTTGAAATGGATGGTGTCAACACGTAGTATGATAGAAAATTTGTTTGAATTTTCCTTGGGGGTTGGCACTTTCTATCTTGACTGCCCACTCCTTTTTCTAAGCCCCGCCAAGCCCCGCCATACTCTGTTGTCCTTTGTTTAAACTTTCAAGTCGTACGGGGGAACGAGATGGACAGTCCGCGTTGGGTATGACCGCCCTTTCTCTCTGGGAAGCATCCAAGGCGGGGGTTCGTATGCTTTTGGAGTCAGCCCTGTTATCGACTTGGAGTGGACTCGATTCGTTGGGGGTGGTACTTTGCCGACTCGGTGGTGACGGCCCAACCTCTGAGATCCGGGTCTTTGGGCTCGGACGAGGGGAAGGAGTATCCACAAACCACTTCCTAGAGGGATAGGTGCATGACGGCGCAATGTGGGCCAATCCTCGTCGAACCAGGGCGACGTGGGGGTTAATTATGTCCTTGCAGATGGTTACCTTATGTGCCACCATTAAAATAAAAAGTCGGAGACATAAGAAGCTCCAACCCGCAAGAAGGAGTAGATAATGGAGGTAATGGGTTTCTTTACGCAGTGATAACGACTGCGGTTTTGTTATAAGTAACTTGACGATGAAGAATGGATACTCCATCATCCGTGGAACAGAAAGAGTAATTATTGTCCAGGAGGACAAAGCGACCCACAATTTTTTTGTTCGCTACGCAATACTTTCCTCCAAGCAAGTTGGATATGGTACAGAGGCGTGGTCGAACCAAGAGTTCAAACTTCGGCCAGGAACCAGATCACTTGTTGATCGGCATGGTAGCAGTGAAATTGACTTGCAGAAGTCATTCCTGGCAGGGTTTAATGGGCGTCGACAAACCCAGCCGTAAGTTAAAGGTTAGGATGTCCTTCCTAATCTCTCGTCAATATTGAGTCTCCGCCTTGGAAGCGGCGGAGTAATAACCTCTTCATTCATATAGGCCGGGAAAAATAACTTTGGCAGATCATCTTATCAAGTCAAAATTTAATCTTGTGTGATTGGATATAAAGTGTATTGATTTTATTAATTTATCTTGTGGACAGAGAATTATAAAGGGACTAGGATTATATTGTGGGTTTCATGTTTGGTTGAGACCGTCCTAGTCGACCGACGTTCGTTTGTACCTATGAGATCAGCGCCCTAGGGGACGGACAACGTTCGGGTCCACTTAGCATTAACCAAGCGTACCTATACTCCTGCGAGCGAGCACACGCCCTCGACTGACCTACCTCTGCAATTGCATGTAAAAGCTTTCGGACGTGGGTCAGTAGCTCGGTAGGGATACGTCCCTGAGGGTGGTGACAGCCCCTTAGGGAAGGTAAGATGTGCCCCGCGAGAACCTATCCTGTCGTAGGGGACCGCGGGATGTACAGTTGGCGCACCCGGCTAGAGCGGCGAAGGGGAAATCCAACCTCGTCCGTCTCGGCGGTTCGCGAGACTATTTATGCATTGTCCTAAGTTGTCACAGGTTTTATTTTGTTTTTACTCCTGCGTGACATGGTCGGGAGGGGTCCCGCGCTTTGCAAAAAAGGCGGGAGTCGATGCGCTCGACAGCGTCTTCCATCCTATTCCTGGGTAGTTTGGGTCGCTCCCTATCGCTACGCGAAGATTAGCAAGAAAGGAATACTGGCTGGAACTGAGCCTATGTGTAGCCTGTGAGAGGAGAAGAAGTATACTCGCGAGTAGACACACAGTAATTTGTACAAGAAGAGTCAGGTGACATCGCTCACCTATGTGCACTTCATCTAACTTTCACGGACTGGTCTTAGGACGACTGGAGTGCTTTGTCGCTTGACTCCAGCTGCCATGCGTGAGGCACGCATTACGACCCGAGGGCGGGACATTGGCAGGGATTGAACCCCGCGCGTGATTCTGTCAAGAAGGTCGTGACCTCGTGAAAGCGTGTGTGGACCAAACATGTGAGACTGCCTTGTTGATGTCACCTGTAATGTTCTGCCGGGACGAATGCCTTGGAGGACCTCAGGCAGTCGGAAACGCGCGGTTATGGAGCTACCAATTTAAGAGAGGATGGAGGAAAGAAGCACACGATATACGAGGCTATTTTGAGGTCGTGTGACTGCGGTTGACATTAAAGCCCTCCTATGAGAAGTAACAACAATGTCGTGCGGTTATCAATAGCTTTCATATTATAGTCCTGCCTTGTTGGCTGGCCTTCAGTCGAGCACGTAGCCGCGAGCATTCCCATCACAACGGTTCTGTTCCGCCTGAAGTCCTCACAACAGGCCTAGGTCGTGTCTGAGCAGAGCCCAAGTGAACTTGCGGTCGTCTTTCGGTTTGGTAATGTTCTCACTTTGTGCAGATCTTATTAATTACCAGGGGAATTTCCCTGCCTCTTTTCAAAATTGTCACCGGAGTGGTCTCGTCTTGCCGTAAGGAGGATCCAAGATCGGCATGATCACCTGCGAGTATTGTGTCAGAGTAGACTGCGATCAGAACGGAGGCGTGGGCATACAAAGTGAGTGAATTGCTAACGGATAGGTAAGGGCAGTAGTTCTTGGGTCCGAAGACAGTTTTCTTAGGTCCGTTCTGGTGGTTTTAATCAAAAGAAAGGGAATTACGAACATTATTGAGCACGATCTGATGGCTTCTAAGCCAGACCATTATGAGAGGAGACTCGGCTTCTCTATTGTGTGGGTTTTACACATGTGAGCAGACTCTTCTGTAAGTAGTTCCAAGCCCTTTTGTGAGAATGAAAGAAAGTCGATTGTTGCAGACTTCAGAAAACTTGAGGTTGTATAAAGATAAGAGCCTAATCCAAGCCATGTTTGTTTGCTTTACGATAGTTTTGTGCGTGTTTGAGTTAATGAAGGGATTCCCGGGCTCTTGGTAGTTCA